CATCTATCCATCCCGTGCGTATCATTCGCTACACACCACTGAGACTTACATCCAACAGGCCTATGTTGAATAATCCCATCAGCAGCACAGACATGAAGGGCGTCATAAGCTTAGCGCCTGTGGCGACTCGTTTGCGGATAAGCGAACCGATCGCTGAGGTGTATTTCATTCTTCTCAACAGGTCCGCTGTTAAAAGGTGGTAACATGAGTATAACCGCACGGAGAAAAACCGCAGGCAGTAAAACCGCAGGTAGAGACGAAACAACTGTGCATATCAAAGTACCAATGCTCGTTCCTGCTATATAAACCTCCTGACACGTGTACATATGCCTTAGACTGACCAGAGGCCCGAATAGGTAAGACAGCTAGGATGAGACTATATGTAATAGTTCCATCTTTGAATATGTACAAAATTAATACGTCCACTGTTAGTGTACGAGTGCGTAAGATGCTTGTACGGCAACTTGACTTACTCGCCGGACAATAAGTACACCAACGAGAAATGTGTCAATTGTTAATGTATGAGTTCGTTTACTGCTTGTACGGTACATAAGTTTAGTCGATAAATACGTTCACTGTTAATGCTCGACTATGTAAACTGCTTGTACGGTATATTTGTTCACTCGCCGGTCTAATAAATACGTCAACCGATAATATACGTAAGTCAAGTGCTTGTACGATAACAAGGTTTACTCGGTAAATAAAACAACTGTTAATGTAAAAGTACGTAAACAGCTTCTGAATAAATGCATCAACAGTTAACGTATGAGTACGTAAACTACTTGTACGGCAACTAGGTTACTCACCGGTAGCATCCTCCATAGTCTCGTGCCACGTGGGCTCTCTGGAGCAAAGCACTGTGTAGATCAGTCGAAGCGATTCTTTCTGCCAACCAAAAAAAGAATGGCACGTGAGAGATGTGGGGGAATATACACCTGAATGATGCATAGACATATGTCTATATATAGTGATAGTAATGTATATATAAAAAATACTGTATATATACTAAGAAGTAACATGTACAAACCTACG